CGCCCCCCTCCCCTCCGGCGGCCCGAGGGATGAGGGCGAAGGTGGGGGTCGGAGGACGCCGCCGGCTGAGCCTGCTCCGGCGTCCGGAAGCCGAATCTCCCATGCCCGGAGCCGTGCGGGGCGTCAGGCCTCTGTACTGCGGTGGGGGAGTTTCTCAGCGTCTGAGGCACGGAGCCCGTTTTTTCACCCCCCAGGGAGCCTGGGCTCTGGGGCCGACTTCACTCCAGTCTTAAGACCCCGGGATCCTCGGGGCACACCGGGCACGAGGACAAGTGGATGCATGGAAGATGGTGTCCACCTAGGGGACTTGGACCAGGGCTGCGCTGCGGACCCTGCCCCTCTGAACTGAGCCCTCTGGGCTGCCACGGGAAAGTCCCAACCCGGGACGCAGAGTCCCCAGGTCACTCAAACCCGGGCCAACTGTGGCTTGCTGGTTGCTCCTAGAAAAGCGACCCCGGGGAGGTGTCCAGGAGCCTCGGGGTAGACGGGGTGGACATTAGACTGGGAAAGGACGGCTCCAGGCCAGAGTGGTGAAGGGTTTCCTCCTCCCCCACGCTTGGCCAATGTCACCGTGCCTGGATCTGCGGAGCCGAGACGGATTAACGGGGTGAAGCCGCGATGGGGCGCTGACTCTGCAGCTGGCTGCCAAACCCAGAGAGTAGACATGCAGGCGATGGCCGTGGTCCGGTCCCCGAACCCACCCGGGCCGAAACTGGGCCTCTCTCCGTCTGTCCCGGTTCGCGTGTGAGAATCTGCTGCGGGGAGCCCCTCACCTCCGGGAAGAGGGCGCACTATGGGCCAAATCCTCGTGGAAAAGGCTTTGCATGGAGGCGCAGTGTGAGGACGCGCCCCGAGCCTGGATTAGGGGTGTAGCATCTTTGACAGAAAGCGTGGCCGGTCCAGGGGCGGATGTGGAAACCAGGAGGGAGACACTACCTCTTTCTGTCCCCTCTCCCTCCTTTCCCTCTTTTCTCCGCGCCCCCCCCCCACCCCCAACCTTTACAGCGTGTCTACCAGGTACCAGCCTGTGAGAGGTCCTCGGAGTACAAAGGTGAACAAAACTGGGTGGACGCAGGCACTGGGGACAAGCTTGAAGACCCCAGGACTAGGCGGACAAGCTGAGGGGCACAGTGAGGAACACGGTCCAAAATACCCGGTGAGGGCGGTGGAGGCCAGAGCGAGGTTTGAACTGCAGAGGCCTCTGGATCTTGGGCCTCAGGTGTTACACTGCGCTGAGCCGACCCACTGTGGTGACCACCCGGGCCTCCAATGCCTTCTGGGCCCGCTGGGATGTCGGCATCCCGGGGGCTGAGAGGGCAGGGGCCAGAGAACAGCGACTTCTGGTAAAGAACGATGGATGCCTGAGCGAGCCCTTGAGCAGAAGTGAACTTGAGCACACTGGCCCCTCCTGTAGTCCGGGGCTTTCTCTCTGAAGGCAAAAATACCCCAAATCAGGGTTTGATTTTAACTTTTTCCTCTAACTGGTCCCATTTACATAAATTCCCACTGGAAATTTCCCCCTTTCAAGGTTGTTGGTCGTTTTGGTGTTTCCAGAGGCCTGTTGATGAAGTCAGGGGATTTACAAATGGAAGTGACCTTCCCCCACACCCCTGCCTTTCTGATGGCTCAGGACAGTGTTGGGTTTGCTAGCTCTCCTTTTCTCCCAGCCAGAACCGGCACTGTGTTGTATTAAAGAAAGAACCCCAGCGGCCAGCAGGTGACAGGGTCCCCTGGGGGGGGTTGGGGGGGGGCTTGGGGCTGCAATCCTGGAGTGGAGCACCACTTACCCTCTTCTGGAGTCCTTAGGTCCTCATCCCTGGTCACTTAGCAGCAAAATTCAAGCTCAGTCTTAAGAGTTCACCACTTCCTCCTTTCCTTCCTCAGTAATTTGGGTCCAAATAGCACTAAATGGTTTCACCTTTAAAGATAAACTTTGGGAACAGCCCTTCTCCAAAGAAGAGCTAGCTGTTTGTGAGTGGTTAGACTCCAAACCCACGCTGACTAATTTCACCTTTAGAAATGCACCCCTTTTTCCACAAAGACTAGACTCTCAATGTAAACCAGTCACATTTTGCAAAATTGTATTTTATCCATGACTTGTTCTGTTTCAATGAACTATTTTAATTTATGACTTTTTAAAGTTTACATATGTATGGTGATTAAACAACTTGTTGATTTAGTTGAATAATTTGTCTTCAAGCCGTTAAAATTCACTACTTTAGTTATGTTTCTCAAATAGGCCACCTAACTGTAACACCTACAACAGGAAGATCTTTTAAAATTACAAGCAGTGTATTTAAAGACTGAAAACCAAGTGCACCTGTAGTGATTTCCACCCCCACCCCTACCCCCACCGCCCAACTTTGTTTGGAAGGGAAATTGAGTGGAGGGGAACCTAACGGTGAAGCAAATGGTGAACCCACCCCACTGCTCATAAAATAACCAGGGTCCCACCTCCCCTGGTAGACTGAATGCCAGAGTGATTTTAAACATTTCACGTTGTCTGGAATTTAGCACACAATAAGTGTGAACTTTCATTATTATTAAAATGAAGTATCCATTGGCCTTATGATATAAACTGCTCTACAGAAGCTGCTTCTCCAAATGTGTTGCCCTGTTTGCCGAGAGAATAGCCCACGTGAGGTGAATGAGAAATGCATTTTATTTTTTTCTTTTCGGAGGCAGTGTAGCTTGGGATAAAGAGCGGTTGTGATATCAGATAGAATCATCTCCCAATTAGGGCTCCTCCACTGTTGGGTTGCAACCATAATAGTTCTAGATTTTGGCTCTGTTACTGGGTACACCAGTGTTTATTTGACCAATCCCCTAGTCTTGATATTTAAGATATTTATAGCATTTTCTCACTTTATCTGTAAAGGGGGAAAAAATGTTGCCTGCCTGCCCTTCCAGTCCTACAAGAATCAAGTCAGTCATAAGCTACTGCAGTCACCCAGCAACAGAGGAATTAAGGATGGGGAAAAAAAAGGGGGGGAGGATTCAGTGCTTTGGATACTGGCCCCTAGATGATTAAGATACACATCCAAGGAAAAATTTCAATGATCCAGATTCTTGCTTCTTCCCAAACATAGAAAAGCACAAAAATCACGAACTCTGGGTGTCTGTTCTCCGTGACTAGCAGTGATCTTTTGATGTTTGACTCCATGTTTTTTCCAGCAAAAAAATTGATATATATCCTGTCTCTTCCCCTTACCTCTTTCAGAGAAGTCCTTCAGAGCTGTCTGAGAGGCCGTCTCCCAGAGGCTGGGAGCAGAGGTTTTCCTACCTCTCAGGAAGTTCCCCGAAGAAAAGTCAACTCACAACTTTTATATTGTGCATTTTTATTTTAGTCGACATATCCAAATGTACCCTTGCCTGGTATTTCCTTAAAAGAACCTCTCACATCAGGTGGCTTGAGCGTCTTTAACTCCAATATTTTCTTCATGGCTGTATTCAAAATGGTAACCCAAAGTCGAGGCACCTGGGAAAGAAACTCAAGAAATGTGCTTCTGAGCTACCCCCCACCCCTGCCCAATGATCTCAAACAGGAAGTCTTGGCAGAAAACATTTCTTGTCTCTTGCTGTTCTACAAATAACCAAATTCCAGTGGAAAACCCATAGGGTGGGGCGGTGTAGACATGGCAAAATGAAAGCAAATTTCCTGAGATAATACACATCTAATAATTTCCTTTGTTTCTTTTTTTTCAATAGAGGTACTGGGGATTGAACCCAGGACCTCGTGCATGCTGCCCACACTACCACTGAGCTAGACCCACCCCTGCCCCCAATAGTTTCCTCTGCTGTTGTTCTTCAAGCTTCCCAGAGTTGGTTTCCTTATTAGCAACTAAAAGAGCTTTAATTCTGGGGGAGAAAAAAGCATTTTTAAAAACGACACCAATACAAGCCAATGGGGAAAAAAAACAATCGGAAAAGAAATAGGAAAAACATTCATTGTGCTGTCTGTTACAAGTGGTTGATGGCCAGAATATAGAGAGATTGCTTGCAAATTGAGAAGAAAAAGCTGAGCATATTTATCCATTTTGTTAACCCTGTTGTCCCCTGGTGAGCTCTATTGCCACTCACCAGGGGACAAAAGCCCATCAAGATGAAAAGAGCTGTTCGCTTGCCTGGGTAGCTGCGGAGGAGGGCACCCAGGCAGGCTTGGGTCCTGCCTTCTTGGAATCTAGACTGAGTGATGGCCGTAGTTAAAAGGTAAGGAAAGTAGCCCAGAGCCTAGGGCTGGCGTCAAAGAAAAAATGGGGGCTCAAGGAGACCCTCAGCATGGCTTGTGAAGGCTGAGACCATCTTCCCCACTTCCTCTGAGAAAACATCCTCAAGGATGGAGTTTGGAGAAGCTCGTAACCTCCCGAAGTTGGCCGCAGGCTCCTCCAGCTCTCTGGCTGCCCATGTGAGACATAGACGTGTGTGGGGGTTGGGACATCTCTTAGTCACTCACTGAAAAACAAAAAAAACGAAGAAACCAGTTTAAACAAACCAAAATTATCTGGTCTGAAATTTTTGGAGATTTCCCTTAGTTAACTGTAATAAACAGAAACAACCTAGAGTGTCCTGAAGTCCATCTACAAAACGGCTGGGCCAGATTACTCTTCTGATCCACTTAGAAACACAAGGAAAAGTCTCTTGTGTATTTCTGGAGCTCCCTATTAAAGAGATTAGCGGCTCTTCAGCCCTTCAGCTCCGCTCAGTTGACAGCCGCGAGATCCCTCCCAATGTCACCTGGATCTGTGCAACCATTTAAGAACTTCTCTCTCTTTTAGGGAGGATTTTCTGCCTTTGTGGTTGAGTATTTGGCAGGAGTACATGCATGTGTGCACCTAACTGCCAGTGCTTCTGCCTTTTTCCTGCTCTTGATGGGAAGTAACAGTAAAAGGCTAAAACTAGAAAAGTCACGTTTACTCCAGGGACAAAAAGGCCTTGGATCCTCATCTGAATAAAAGTGGTTGGATTTTTAAGGCCAGTGTAGGGAGCCTCATGTGATATGAACAGCTATTAAAAGATCTACTCAACAGAAGGCTTCTCCCTGACCCACCCGGGCCCCCCTCACCCCAGGTGCAGGGCAAACTCCCCCTACTTTCCCCATCCCACCCCTTTGTTCATGACCCTGAAATAGCTCTTATTACCCTGTTTCCAACAACTTTTTGCAAGACTGTCTTCCTTCTTATAACCTGAGAGTTTACCAAGTTCAAGGACCACTTCTTCTTAGTGTATTTTAATCCCCAGCACCTAAGAAGCTGTCTTACCATTTTGGTAGATGCTCAATAAATCCTTGTTGAATGGAAGTAAAGGCAGGGCCTGCTGGACCAGGCCCCAGCTGTCTCCGAGGACCTTCTGAATTTAGATCCAATCAGGCACAGAGCAAGAATCTGAACTTTCTTTAGCCAGCGGTACTTCCAAGTCTTTGGACCTTCAGGAATTAAACAACAACACACCATCCAAGGCAGGAAGACCTAGGACGCTGGAGTATGTCTGGATTCTGTACCAGCTCCTGACCATCACTGGTTCCCTATAAAGCCGGAGCATTACCCTGCCGTGTGTAACCACCATATGCAGACTGCTGGGGCCACGCACCAAGGAGACTTGGGGTTCACCCAGGGCTGGAGGTGCTGTTTCTAGATGTCCCTCTTGTGAAATAGGGGGGATGGAGCAACACACACAGCTCTGAGCCTGGACTCACATGTGCTTAGGGCAAGGTGTCCGGCTTGTGGCCCCATCACTTTCCCTAACTGAGCATAAATTCAGTAATCAAAGCAAAGACTAAATCAGAAATTTTAAATTACTATGATGAATCATAAAGTTTGGCTTACACCTACCACTTGGCCTAATTCGCCTAGGTGGATTTCATGTCAAAAATACTCCCAGGGGGACAAAGCTAAGGGCAGAGAGAACCAGAGCCGCACATGCAGTGCATGATGGGAGAATCATGGGGCAGATATTCTAAAAATGAAGTGAAAGTTAATTCCCTGCCACATTAGCTTACTAGTATTTTTGTAACAAAACATCACAAAGTGGGTGGCTTAACCACTAAAGATTTATTCTCTCCCAGTTCTGGAGGCTAGAAGCCTGAGATCAAGGTGTCAGAAGGGTCAGTTTCTTCTAAGGCTGTGAGAGAGAGAATCTGGTCCATGCTCCTCCCAGACTCCTGGAGGCTTGCTGGCCATCCTTGGCGTTGATGCTTGTAGAAGCATCACCCCATTTCTGCCTCCATATGTATGTCTGTCTCTGTATCCAAATCTCCCCTCTTTTTAGGGACACCAGGCATACTGGATAAGAGCCCATCCTCAT